TGTCTTATTCTCGTTTATCGACTAAAGTGAACTTGTAATAGTTTAAAGCATATCCAGTGACGAGAATAACAATGAATAAGATGGGTAGTTTTTTTTCTTTTGAAGACTATTATACATTTGTTTGCTGAAAAATCACTCATTCAGTGTGAAATTTAGGATGAACATTTACAAACTCATCACCTCAAAGAGAAATTTAACAGCATCACTTTGCCTAGGCTTAGTGAACAGTTATACATTAAAACTTCTAAAGTAGAATCCACTCGATATAGAAGACGTATAAAATAGTTCTCTGAGCTGGATGTGTTTTGGTTGTGGAGCTTACATTGTTTACTTCTGAACAACCTCATCAGCACAAACTTCAGGTACAGAAGTGAGGTATTCGGATTTCTCCACGTTTGACCTGTAGCTTGTTCTGCTAACCTCGACTTTGATTGGTTGCGTTTGACCTAAAATCTGTTGTTGTTTGCACCTCTGCTTTGATTGTGTTCCCCTTTTGATCTGTTTCTTGATCCTATGTCACCTATGATTTTCCTGATTAGTTGATAAATTAGGTCAATGTCGATGTGTTTATTGATTGCTGACTGACTTGAGTGCCAAGCTTCTAAAAATTTTCTAGTGTTCTTTGTCCTCCCCTTATCCAGTACGGTAGGATGATCTGTTGATTGGTTCCTGTACTTGCTTGATTTCACTTCTGATGATGGTTTCGGTTGATGTTTTTTGATGAAGTTGCGTTGATAACCGTTCTTTTGGAAGATGCAATAGGCTATTCTAATCCGACTGTCCCACGCCTCGCTAATTAGATAAAGAAGATTTGATCAGGTGTGAAGAACGTATTCTACAAGCATCCAGAAAATAAGAGGTGGCCAAGCACACAAATCAAGCTTATTTATACAACTGATAGCAACACCCTTGGGTGAGTCACAAAATAACGTACTAAAATAATCCATCAACCAATAGAGGTCAAGGATTTTCCAAGGGGAAAATTGTTAGGATATTCATCAAATATACTAAGAGTACTATTTTTGGAAGTTTAATTCTATTGGTTACTTTCTACTGATCAATATTATGGTCAGCTTAACTGTCAAAGTCACATACTTCAAATGTCGTTTCCTATTGGTCGTCCTAACAATCAAATGTCACATACTTCAGTGTTGTTTTCTATTCGACCTAACTGTAAAAATATGCATTACATGTAAAGCTTATTATTCAACTCATTCCTTTTGTACTCGACCCCATAAATAACTTCATCTAACGGTGTTATGTTCTGATATACATATTGGAGATTTGGGAACAGTGTATTTTGGTTCATATTGGAATATCTGAATTCGGTCAATCGGTAGGATTTCGAATAGCTAAATAGCAGCTATTAGTTATTTCCATAACTAATTGTAGTTATTATGTCATAACTAACCAATCAAATTGTAGTTTAAGCGTCCACCACGTGATCTGATCTGACGTGTTTGTAAACTTTCTTTGTTGTAAATGACCTACAAATTGATTGACATTATTATCTTATTATATATTGATGTGACTCATAACTGTACTCATTTCTATAAGACACGCTATATTAGTCGGTACGTTTGCTCGTCTTACTTGATAATTGTGATTTCTTGTAATTTATTGTACTAATCTAATTGTTTTTATGTTTAGAAACAGATAAAGTTTTAAGCAAAATTGGTCTTCTAACTATAGCTTTCCTATAGACTCTGTGCTTGCCAATATTGAGTTTACCGTCGTAGAATTACATCTGTAGGACAAATTAAATCCTACAGAAGCATTATAACAGAAATGTAAGCTGAAGGTCAACTAAGCGTCTGTCTCTAGGCGCAAAAACATGGAAATTCAAAGTTTTAGAATAAAAATACAAGATTTAAGTAAGTTCTGGGGACCTCAACAACACTATTCAATTAGTAGATCACTTACTTTGTGAACTTTCGAGTGTGTTTTATTGTGGAAATTCATAAATTCATTATTATTATTATTACCAGTAGTATAATTACCATGTAATGTATTGTATTTGAATGTATCATTATTATTCACCTGCTTCAGCAAAGTATTCATTAAACAACGTTGAATAGAATGATTTCGACCGGATTTCTTATGGACAGATTTGTTTACATCTAAAATGCATATCAATGTAAATTGTAGTAATGAGGAGAAAATGAGTAGTATATTCAAAAAAAAAACCGCATAAATAATGATCGATATATATGGAGTTCATTCATTTCAATTGATAAAATATAAAGTTTATACAAAATTGTTAGAATATTCATCAAATATTATACGAGTACTATTTTTGGAAGTCTAATTCTATTGGTCAATTCCTATTGGTCAGTAATATGGTCGTCCTAGCTATCAATGTCACGTACTTCAATTTTGTTTCCCATCGGTCGTCGTAACTGTTAATGTCACAGACTTCAAATGTTGTTTCCTATTCGACCCTAACTGTATAAAAACGCATTACCTCGTACTTTTTGGATGCTTGTAGAATACATGTTCTACTTCATATCAAGTTTTCTTCTTTTAATCAATAGGAGTTGGGACACTCGGATTAGAGTAGCCTGTAGTGTCGCGGGATCGTCGATCCCCTCTCTCGTTTTCTGACTAAGGTGAACTCATAGCAGCTCAAGTATATCAAATGATGTAGTTACGTGCATGCGTAACAAAAGTAAACAACATTTTCGTTAAAAAAATACATACTGAGTAAAATATTATTCTATTCTGTTCTATTGATTTTATAGAATTTAAAATAGGAGACCATTGAGTTCAGGGTACTCTCCCTATATACAATGGCGAGTAAGACCAGGTGTTGTCCGCGTTAATGAAAGCGACTTGGACTGAAAACATCGATACCATAGTACGATCAGCTGTAGTCCACAAAAAAGTTTCGTCCAGACCTTTTCTATAAGAATAATGTGGGTCAATCTTTTTCAATAACTTTTGAATGGTGCTATGCGGTTTTTGTTAATTTGACTACACTAATCATGCTCTATCGACTAATATATAACATATTTCTGTGTTTAGAGATCAGTGCCACGAAACGTGCACATGCTGATTTCGCCATACTATATGAATACTTGGGTCTCATATGGTTGGAAAAATGATCAAAACGTATCCCAACAAGAGATATAGGGTAATAAGTGTGTTTGAACCCATTTACGTCAAGCTAGGCTGCATTTCCCACTATCATATGTCATACGACGTATATTTATCATGAGCTGTATTGCTGTTTAGAGCTGAGGATTTTGTAAGGTTTGGCATTGCTTTGGGGAGTTTTAAGAGAAATCCATATTCAAATTTAGCTCACATGGTAACCGATTTCACTGATACTGGTGGTTGTCTTTCAACCATTGTCAATGGGAGGCTGTGATACTAATAATGATGGGTTTGGCGGTCATATAAACGGGATGGGTCAAATTGGCCTGTTCATACTGTGCATATAGATTGACGCGATCATGGATCGGACATTATCAATAGATGTGAATAGTTCTTCATGGTGTCAAGCACCGGAACTTTTGTGAGTGCACCACAGGATTTAGTTGTACTGTTCAGTTTGTGATTCTTATCTTATCTTATCTACGCGTATTAGGCATTTTTTAATAGTGTTTTAAAATCCAGAGAATCATTTGAACAACTCAATTCTTAGATTAGAACTAACAGAAGCACACTAAAAAAACAAAAGCTGAATGAATGTGCTCACTAGTGACTAGCTTCATTAGGAAATTCTCTGACTTCTTCTAGTGAGAAGACGTGACCAGTAGAGTTCAGCGCTGTCGGGTTTAGGCAGTAACTATCCAAGACAAATAGGTGAGGTTGCGGAAAATCGTCAGATTGTTCAGAGTTAGACATTAACAACGTAGAATACTGGCAGATTGTTCCAGAGGTTAAGCATTCGCTCACAATACTGAAGGTCTCGGGTTCGAATCCTGT